GGGGGGGGGGGGGGGGGGCAGAACACCTCAGGAAACATGGAAAACCCGCGGCATCCACAAACAAACATAACCCTAAGCTGGGCGACAACTAGAGGAGGGCTTCAATGCCCGCCTGTCTACCCACCTCAACCTATCCCGATGGTGATAGAACTCCCGGGGGTTCGCCTCCCTCGCTGCCGCCGCCCCGCCTTTGAAACTCTGCCCTTCACCTTCAGCACGAAAAAAAAAGGAGAAGAGAGTTGTAGCGAATGCGTCAAAACGATGATACTGTCGTCCAAGTGTATGTACGACGGGTCGGCGTAGGATTCATCCGCACTTCATAGTTTCAGTCCGTGCATAGACACACTTGATTGCCTGCTATTATTGGAAATGGGGACGACGATACCGTTTCTCGGACACCGCAGTTTGGCACAATACCGAACAACGTTTGGCTGTGATACTATTTTGTGCTCCGCAAAACGATGAGCTTTACTTCTACACCATCGTACTGGCGTCTGCACGAGGTGATGCTTTCACACGCATACGCATCCTGCCGTGAGGGACGCTCACTCGTCTTCAACCACTCACTTAGTCTCCCCTGCACCAGGTGGTACTTGGCCTCCTCAGCGACCGTGGTATGGTCACCGCCCGCACCGCCTGTCGCTCCTCCAGCGGTGGTGGTGGTGCTGCTGTCGGTGGTCAACATTAGAGCCCTCAGGGCCGGGGAGGCGTCCAACACCTCTCGGAAAGCGAGCACCCCGTCGGCCTTCCCCAGGAGATCGCTCAGGAGGTGCACCTGGTCAATAATGGATTGACGTCGCGTATAAAGCCTGAGGTATTGTGGTGCTAAACTACGATACACGGGTGATAGGAATGGCTAGCTTTTGTTTTCGTCGCGTCGATGGTATGCATGATTGGTGTAATGATCTGACATTCAATACAAAGCCTGAGGTATTGTCGTGCTGAACTACGATACGCGGGTGACAGACATGGCTAGCTTTTTTGTCGCCATGTCGATGCAACATGCATGATCGCTACATACCAACCGCGTTATTGCTCAAGAGGGTAATGTTGCCGCTACAATACCGCTGCCGGTTGTTCCCCCTCTTTTCCGTCTGTACGCACGGAGCGAAGGGAGGTGGATGTTTAACCGTCGTGAAATACACACGTCAAAAACAACGCCGCACTCCGTGTACATGGAGTCCCAAGCAAGCGGCGGGGATCTCCACGAATCACTAGAGAACAAGGAACGGTAGCCTTCAAACGACAACATTCCAGCATAACATGTCCCCACCTTCCGCTCGTGGTTGGTGGCAGCCACCATCCCGGGGTTGTTGTCCATCCACTCTTCCTCCCACGTGGCCTGCCTGTTCCAACAAAAAATCAGACAAGGCAGAAAGCAACACAGTCAATGCTACGCATTCTTGCGGTGACTACATACATAGCGTTAAAGGATGGAGGTGGATCCCTAAGTGTTGGGTAGTTGCTGTTCTGAACACTTGCGCCCTGTATGGAGTCGCTCAAAACCTCAAGAAAAACTAGCTCTGTTTAACGAGGCAACGAATGCAAGCAGAGGGATGCTCAGCGAAGGAGGTATGGACAATATTTATGCTGAGGCGCTCTCGTGATGAAAACACGATAATAATGCTTCTTGGCTTTCGTTCAGTCACTGGGGCTTTTCGTTGCTATTTCTGAGGGCAGCAGCAACCGATCCATCCCATTGAACATGTCCTGCACAGGACATCTATCCCTATGCATGCATCATTGTGTTCACCGCAACTCGGGCAATTAGGTACAGCATAGATTCCATTTGTATTTTCGCTTGCACTCCTCCCCCCTAATGATTCCCGTCGATTGTCTTGTATTGTTGCTGCTGACTTCATTTTAACTACATACCTTGCAACACATCCGGACCGGCCCGACTGACGCTCACTCCTTCCGTGGTGAGAAAGGCCACCTACCAAAAAGGGGTGGTTTTCGCGGTATTCACCGTAGAAACCATTGCGTTGTTCTCTGCTCGACACCTTCACACGTCCTTGGGTGTAGAAGAAGCCCGACACAGCTACCGAAAGCCCTCCACGAGACGTTGCCAAAACCACCCTTTTTGGTGTTGGCAAAGGCGCTTGGTTTTGGAGCAATCGAGTTGTGGTACAATAATCGGTCTAATAGGGGGCGTGCCATCTCTCCGCCTCTTACGGAATACCACGGTACGGTATACGGTACGGTACAGACAATCGTGGTTGTGGAGCGATCGAGTTTTGGTGATCGGTCTACTAGGGAGGGTCATCTCTCCACCTCGTGCGGTACGCTTGTACACACGTTCTGGCATCTCTGTACAGCTCCAGTCGTTCGTGTGTTCGTCCCATTTTTTTTCTGGCGCCAGCAGTCTGCACCTACCTACAACCTCTCGGTGTTATTGGACCGATCAGCCGGGGCCGGAGAGGGGTGTTTTGGTCGCCCCAACTCCTTGGGTACGCGACTCCCTTTTCTTTTTCGCAGCATGGGTGCCATACTGCTGTGGTGTCTTCTTCGACAGAAGTGAAGTCGTGTGTACAGCAATATAGTCACGAGCGTCCTCGTATTCCACTTGAAAACTGCATGCAAGCAAGCCTTTCCAGAGAGAGAGTCGAACTACCCCGAGAACACACACACACGTGAACCCTGTACAAAAGCACACGATTCACGAACTATGATACGAAGACTAGATAATTACAACACCGTGGAAGAAAAATGAGGACGGAGCAGAAAATCACTACCATATATAGTCATACAGCAGTACACTACGCAATGTATATGCATACCAAAAATCAATACAGCCGCTCGCTGTGAGATGTGCTCATCAGCCCACCGGAATGCCATGCACACAGCGAGTTGGTTGGGACCGACGAAACCCTAAATGTATGTCTACACGCAAGTCTGGCTCCATGTGAGACGACCTGATTTCTCCCTCTTTTGGACCTTCTATCCATTTCCTGCTGGCTCTTTCTTACTGCTGTGCCTGTACGGCGGCGTCGGCGGCCAGGGCGAATCTGTGTCTGTGGTGTGAGTTTTCCACCCGGGAGCACTTTCCCTCTTTACGTGTTGCCGTCCTTCTGAAAATGCACGCGGGAGGTCTTGCGTAGGGCGTATATATGCTACTTATGCACGTACACAATAGACATATGTATTGCATCATCTACATACGCAGTGGGAGTATGGAACACGCCTGTGATCGTCGCCGTCGTGGGTGTTGTCGTTGTTGTTTCGGTTAATGACGGGCGCATCACGTTTTATCTCCGCGGATGGGTACAGCAGATGTGATGATACACTGCTGTAGAGCAAATCAAGCAGGGTAAGTGGTTGTTCCGTTTTTCCATCTAATACTGTGACGAACCTCTTACTTGCCCGTGGTCTGTCAACGCCCCGCTGACAATGGACGTTCCCTGCGCGGCGTGTCGACTAGACACCGGCCGTGAGAGGGGCATTGGAGGAAAGCAGTCAGCCGGAAAGAGGCAGCTTTCCAGTACGACCGCCTGAGAACGGGAGTCGGTTTGCAGAGCGAGCACGACAGCTCTAGCACGCAAGCTCTATACCTCAAGTTTTACTTCCATCTCCATCGAACAAAACGCTCAACTCTCACCCTCGTAGGTCATCGAGAACCGTTGAGGTGGACTGCAGGTGGACGCTCACAGCCTCCGGCTGCATTTCTTGGGTCTTGTTGCCCATGATGGACCTCCTAGAGAGAAAAACGGAACACCGCGCCAGAGGACAAAAAAACGGGCGGCGGCAGAGAGATGAGCAACACGGGCGCTTGGAGACCTGCTTTCTCCTTTGCACGCGAAACCCTGAAGCTCCGAGTCGTAGGGCAGCGGTTAGTACCTCGCCAGCAGGAGAGGGCGTCGTCGGCGACTTCTAGCGCGATGCAGCAAGACTGGTGCTGCTGCTGCTGCTGCTGCTGCCGCAGCAGTGGTGGTTGGGTATGTGTGCCCATGACCTCCTCCTCCCTTGTCTCGCGCCCCGAGACTTCCAGCATCAGCTTCAGGATCCTCATCTACCAGACAGAGAACAGCAGTGCTCAAGCCTGTTGTGCAGTTGCGGGATGAGTCCACAGATTACGTAACCACGTCGACGAAGCAGCTCGCGACAGCCCAGCCCGCCCTGTTCTACACGCCTTTCTCCCACCCCCTTTCCTTCTCAGTGGGCGGGCGCTATAAACCGGTGGAACAATTTACGTCATGTCTACCGACCTAAATACACGCGCTGGCAACAACATCATCAATCTCGCTCGCCTGAACTTCTTCATCGTGAGCGAAGCAAACGCCCGGCAGGGAGAGAACCAACGGTAAAAACAACGCGAGGTGTTACGTGCTGCCGTTGGACCCAGCAGCAGCCCAGCCCCTGTGCTTCCTTCCCTCTCCCTCTGTTCCACGCTCTCCAGGTGTGCAAGGGCGCCGCCGCCGACGAGTGAATAACGGTCCGCACATACACTCATCACGTATGGTCCGCATACAAAACAGTTTCACGTCGGTTTCGGGTTCTTTTTTTGTTGTTTGGGGGGAGGCGGGTACGAAAGGTACTCTCCTTCGTCAGGAAGATACGAAATCTTTACACCGCTCAAGCTCATTGTGCGCGGCGTGGGGGGAAGGTGGGTGGTGAGCACTTACCGCTACGCGCTATTTTCTCTTTCATTCGCTGCTTGAGTGCGACTTGAAGAGATTTGCGGGCGATAGAGAGGGAGGGGTTACGCTCTCAAAGATATCAGCTGGGAAGATAGGACGTGTATGAACATTTATTTAGATTTAGAGCTCGCGTTGGATCTTTTTTCATCCGCAGCCGTTTCATGCGCAGGAAAAGGCGGGCGTCACGAGGGGGAGCACCGGAGCACCACACGAGACACGAGACTACATGCAAGAATAGATTGACATGGAGTACTGTAGCCACTCAGCACTCACGTACAGTATACCGGAAGACACATGACTATCTTCTAGCGCAGCACACGCGTTGTGTGACCTTCCAAGTAACTTGTACCCGTTGGCAGTGTTCCAACCCTTGCAAGAGTAGAGTACAACAATTGGCACCACACTCACTCGTCACTTGGTCTGTAAATTTTTGTCGGGGGAGATATCTTGTCGAGGGAGATACAGACAAATACTTCGTTGGACTTGAACTGCAAGGTTGGAGAAAACGACAGTCTGTTATTGAACGCCATTTGATTGCCCAAAACGGCCGCGAGGCGTCAGGGGGGGGCACGTATGTCGAAAAGGCAGAGACGCCGCATGCAGAGTCCTATTCCATATGATGCACTTTGAATAGCCAAAAGAGTCTAGACCGCAAGTTTTATGTATCCATCGGTCGTCTGCGGCGTTCCTGACCGGGCGCCATGCATCCTCGTGCTTACGTCATACCACATGTTTGGGGTGTGAGTGCAGAGAAGTGGCTGCAGTGTTTGCCCAGCTGAAACGTCCTCTTACAACTCCAGATACCACCTCAAACAGCAGTACTGCAAGTAGTACAACAGCAGCAGCACAACAACCTATGCAACTTGCTGTAACCGCCCCACGCCTGACTTCGAAATGCATGGAGAGGTTTCCGGTACCCAACTGATCTGGTACTTTTCAGAACTCTTCATCCACGTGGATGGATCTAAGCAGATCAAGTGCTGCGACGTGCAGAGTGAAAAGGCGGGGTGGAAGTTGACGCCACTTACAACGCGTGGCCGCACAGCAGCAGCTATCATCCGGCGAAGCGGTTCGCCCTGTCGTCACCCTAAACCCACCATGTCCACGCTACGCACCCTGTTCGCAACCTCAGGTTGGTTCCTCATTCAACATCTCCGGTGTTTCTTCGTGCTTGTCAACCGATGCGAGCAAGTAAACGGACGTTGGAAATACATAGATTTGTCTGAGTTGTTTCCAGCAGCAAACCAGACCATTGATTGAGACATCGCTCGTCGCGGACCACCTTGTCGAGGGACGGGTACAAACACAACCATTTCACTCGACAGAGCGTGAGAGCAACCTTTGAAACGGGTCTCCACGCTATAGCTTTGTTGGTCAACCACGGACCGCCCGCTCCGCGCAGACACTATTTAGAAACAGCGTTTCCCTTGCCTTCCTTGTTTCCTCTGTCTGCGTTCAGGCGTTCTACATAAAAATATCTCGAACGATTGGTTCCTCGAAGACGACGATCTAGGTCAAACCGCACAGACAAGCAACCTGCTTCTACCGGGTAGCCAACCGTTTGCTACACTTGTGCAGCGCGCTCCCTCCGTATACACAACAAAAACAGCGTCAGCACGAGACGTGGTCAAACATGGACAAGCTACAGAAACCCCATTCATAGCTACAGGAGGCCTTGTGGCACAGCGTACGACAAGGTCATGCGAAGGTCTGGTCAAGATCAACTACGGTTTGAGGGAGGATAGACAACGACGCATCATCAACGAGTGTATGAGCTTTGTATGAGCGCTATGGACAATTTGAATTTTCGAATTTTCGTTGGACATGGATATCTGGAGACGTCAGATACTGAAGAACTTGAAGAAATATCAGCATCCCAGCCCCGCCCTCGCACTCTCTTCAACTGGGCACCGCGAATCCAGTCAAGAAGACCGTACAATCAGAGTCCCAAGCCAAGGAAAGGACTGACTATTAAAATCGACAATTTCAGCCGGAAAGGTGCCCAAGGATAGTCTTGCCGTCGACAAGCTCCTGCGCCCAAACGCCGATGGTTGCGATCATGGCCAGGCGGCCGTTGTTGAGCTCCTTCGTCATCATGGCCTTCTTGCCAGCTTCATCCTTTGGGAGATAAATGGCCGCGGAAGAGGCACGCAACGGCAAGGCGGAGACATGTTTCCGGTGTCACGTATGAGTAAAATAGCAACAGCAGCAGTGCCGACAATTACCTGGGTTTTCTTTTCCATGCGCGGCTTCCACGCTCACGGTTCTGTTGGGATGCATCCTCTCAAAATCTACAGCTCTCGGCCTGGGTTGGTACAGCGACCCCTACTGTACCCACACCCTGGGTCCGCAGAGAGCGAGCATGACGCTTTGGTCTCCCTACACAAGAGCCAACGCTTGAGAAATTGAGAGAGCTAGGCCTTGGCCTGGTTCCTGGCAACTTTCGCGAGCAGAAACCAGAGTCCAACAAAACCATTCAAAGAAAAAAAGCGCAACCCACCAGCATACAGAAATCTTCTGGTAGAAGGCTAAGGTCGGTTTGTCTGGGCTTGGCACGCAGAGTTGGTTGACGAGGCCGGTTCTATTCGCACTTCATACCGTTGTACCTGGGTGCGACACCGGTTAGGGCAGGTCTCAACGAAGAAATCAGATCTTGAAATCACAATCAGATTTGGTTATGAGACCGGAAGATCCAAAGAACTCTGTTGTTGATTGGCTGAAAGTGTTTTTTTTTTGTTCTTCACTTCAAATCAGCGCTCACAGCACTAGTGCCGTTTATTCCAATCCGTGGTCACACAGAAGAGCCTCTCTCTACCCTCCCCTCCTGCGGTACTTCGCCTTCAATTTTTAATGCGAGAAGAGTTCAGCACTTTCTTCCCTCTGTGTACACACGAACTAGCGCTATCCACTTGGCCAGGAGCGGAAGCGAGAGAAAAGCTCACTTTGCAAGAAAAGCTCGCCTACGCCGGGATTCGAACCCCTGACCTGACCTCTAGAAGGTTACGAGGCTACCAACTAGACCACCGGGGCGACCGTCGAATCATAAGGACTTAAAAACAGGACGACACGAAACCAAATCGGGATTTGCAAAAAGGTGAAATCATTTAATCGGATTCCGATTTGGGTGAACAGCGTCTAAAGTTGCGGGACCACGGTCTACTCGCATGCACGGCGCGTGCCCACCTACCCCCATCCACACGAACTCCATCCACCGCCGAGCACAGAGGAAAGAGAGAGCACAAAAAGCCAACCCACAGGGAGGGTGACTGCGCATCGTTGTTGCACGTGACTGGTGCCGAAAAAATACGTGTGAGGGATGTTGGTCTGTGGGGCAATCCCCTGTGGGTTGTCGAACTTCAAATGCACAGACGAATTGGCGGCTTTCCGTCGGACGAGGCTCGATTCAAACTCTCACATGCATATAGACATCGTGTCAGTACCGCACAGAGGTCATGTACGCGTTTGGTGTGTGCTTGTCGGGAGCGATAGCTCCCCATGTGGTGTGGCCACGTCATAACAGTACGTCACAACAGCAATCTGGCAGTTGGCAAGCGGCGGACCTCTCGGTTTGTTTGCGGTGGACTGCAGAGATTCGTTTCCATTTGGCAGATCTCCCGTTAAGACACAGAGGCCATTTCTGTCCGGATTTGGGTAGACCGACTCTTTTATTCTTATATCGCAATGTGATTTCGAGATCTGATTTCTTCGTTTAAGACCTTCTCTTAGAACGTTAGAAGCTGGCAGCTAGAATTCTTGCTCAACAATTCACCAAATTTAAGAACTTGAGCACCATCTATCTGTGCGCCCGGTCAAGAACCTACGAAAGCCTAGATAGCGGCCATTTGTATCCCACGAAAGGAGATAAGAACCCCAGCCTTGGCTGAAACCTGAAACCTGAAACCTGAAACTGGAGGTTCCCAAGTGCGGGCGACAACTTCTGAATCAAGGCGGAGTCTAAAAAAAACAGAAGAGAGTATCATGCATAGTGTAACGTGAAAAGTTTTCTCGAGGACCGCAATGTAATTGTTGTACTCCTAATGCAGGGAGGCGTGAGGCGGGCTCCCTCTCGTGCCTTGACCGGCACCCCTGAACACCCTTCCCCAGACGACACAACGCGCTTCTCTGTATTTTATTTCTCCAAGCACAGTTGAGAGTTACCGCCAGTCATCAAGGATTCAACCGGCTGTGCATAGCAATGTTCAGGCAATGCTGTTGACGAAACTCAAGACAACTCCACCGAAGTTCCCTTCGGTCGTACAGTAGCCATGGCGTGTTCCATGCCAAGAGAAAAAATCCAAGGTCAGCAATAACGCAGCCGGTAAAGTTGGAGAGCCCCGAGGACAAGCAAGCCTTAACCTATCGAGGGTGCCCCCTGGCCAGATGTGCACTGGGTGGCTGAGTATCTCGGCAACACCGGCATTAGACCAAACCCTGTTAGGATACCGGGAATAAAAACGGAAAACTTCAAATCTTACCTTGGGGTAGAGTCCGAGGGGGTCGAAACCGAAGCTTCCTGGCTCGTAGTCTGGCTTCAGGTCGGCCACACCCAGCTTCAACGGCTGCTTCACCCACCCCACTGGTTCCAAAAATGAAAACACGGAGGGGGGATGATAGAATCAAAGACCGAAATTGCCTAGAACCCGTCTGCGCGAGCGCTTTTTCGTCCGCTCCATGGTGTTTCAAGGGCGTGGGCGATAGCAACTACAGAAGGCTGGCTTGATCAATAATCGCTCATTTGCAAACCGGGGGGAAGGATCGTCTCGACAAAAACACAGCAGTCTCTCGGCGCGACCAAAATGAAGCAAAAAAGCAAAGAAACGAAGAGGTGAACAGATGAGCATCACTCAGAAAGATGGGAAAGACGCAGAAGGCACGGTAGTTCCTGATCCAGGACCGGTTGGCACGATAATTTAAAGGAATTCAAGATCCTCGAACGACGCTGAAAATCAGCCCAGACAAACTCTGCACCGTGTGTATGTAAGCGGCACGAAAGGGACGGAGGTACGCGCCTAGAATAAAACCTGATCAGGCTGGCTGCCACCGTTTCAGGACACGAACCCGTCCAAGTCACTGGAGAGCATGACGCCTCCTCAGCGAATAAACTGGTGCTCCTCCCCCCTCTTCAAGACAACCAACGAGCGAGTTGTTGTTGTTGTTGTTGTTGTCTTCAAATTAACATCCGTTCCGGTCTCGTCTTGCTACCATCTAATGTCCAAACTGGTCCAACTGACGCGGACGCCTTTCGTGGTCACAAGCCAACTGCCCCACCATAGTGGTATTGCAAGACTCCATCTCTCACCGTAGATGTTGTTCCCCTCGAAGATCCCGACGATGATCAGCAAGAGCGCGGGCATCAACGGGAAGTAGTTCGTGACCGCCTGGAAGTGGACGATGGCCGGGCCGATGTCCTTCCCGCCGTTCTCGAAGAGGGGGTGGGCCAGCTCCTGCACGAACATCCCCAAGAAGGCTAGCATCGCCACTCGCGCGTGCTTGATCTCGCTCTCGCGGAACTTCTTCACGTCGATCGCGCGGAACTTGTGTGGTGGTGTTGTTCGGGCGGAGCAGGTGGGAGGAGAAGTTAATGGCTAGGGCTGCGGAGGTTCAGGCGGAGCACGTACCAAGAGCTCGGCCAGAGAAGGGGGGGGGGCTCCAACTCATGCACATGCGTCGGGATCCTGAAACTTTGTTTGCAAATGTCTGAACTGAACCCTCCCCGCCACCGATACCACCCGTCTGCAACAGCAGAGTGCTCAGTGGCCCCCCTTTTAGCTACCCTCGGGATATACGAAAAATAAATTGCAATATGTCGATCGGGATACTCGCTAAATGTGTCATTTGAAGCACATGATCAAAGCAGTCAAGCGCAGGCTTAGCAACAGCAGAACCGAGAAAGCAGATAGGCGACGCACACCTTGGACGAGATCTCGAGGGGGTCGAAGTACGGGAACGGTGCGCTAGCGCCGGCCAGCGTCTTCACGTACTGGGGGCCCGTGAGCTCGATCGGCGGTGGCGGCTCCTCCGCCTCTGGCGCCTGAAGGATCTCATCGAACTGGGCGGAGCCAGACGCCAACGAAGTCCTGATTGGTCACGTGTTTAACGTCGTAGGTGGCGATGATGTCGGAGGCGGCGGCGACATCCGCGGTGACAGGCCGAATGAGGACGGGGCGTACGAAATGAAACAGAGGTCAACGATTGATTTTTTGCGATGATGCTCGTTTCAGGGACAACGTAAACCATTTCGAAAAATGCGGACTCCTTGGTGATCGGCGAACACCACCCGTTTCGTTTGAACGCTGACCAACGACGGCGTAGGTGCAGCGCGGTCGTACATCCATTGCAGCCGTAACCTCAGCCGCAGCTGCCCCGACGGGAGCGCTGGGATTGAATTCCAATATCGACGGCATGAACGGTCACCCTTTTGTGTGCTCTGTCTATTTCATGTGTTCTTGAAACGCCCTGGCTGCATGTGGGTGAGACCATGCACGTAAATAGTTGTACGTCTGCATGTACACGTACAAACTGTTCCTGGAGAGAAGGGAAAGCGATATCTTTCGAAGAAAGTGATTTATTTACGCACAAGGTGAGTCGGTTATTGTCGAGGGCCACATCGTAATGGAAGCGAGACAGGAGCTACGGAGCTGCATACGATGTGACTATGTAGATTGAGCCCTTGTTCAGCACGGTCGTCGGATACGAGCAACATCGCAGGATAAAAGTTGTGTTTTTCGTGTTTCAGAGTGCGGAATATTCCGCCATGCTTTCTCGAACACGTACATCGCCAACTCGTGGCTGAGCTCATGAAGCAAATACTATTCAGGGGAACTAGGCCTGCTTGGGCAACTCGTCTTGGGGGCAACTCGTGCAATATACATCCTCCAAAATGCAAGTGCGCACAAGTCTTCGCGAATGCAATGCGTGTGTGCGCGCTCCACCAAGTAAGTGTCTCATGCGTGGCACAAAAGTTGTGTCATACTAAGAAAAAAAAAAAATGAGTGGTATGTGCATATTTCTCCGCATGTAGACTTGTCACGGCCGCTGGCAATACGACACGACAACAACAACGATCAACTCCTGTGTTCTTCTGCAGCCCGATAGCCTACGCAGTTCGCCTACCCACGTTCGTGGTAGCGTGGCGGCACTTTTACAGACTGCTGGAAGAGTGGGAACGCACCATCCGCCTGAGTGTCTGGTGTCTGGTGTGACGTTGTCTGACGCACTGCTGGCCAGCTCCGAATCCGAACAGTAATGAGTCACGACCAGGAACCAGTCAGCAAACTTGATTTCGCACGCCGTTCATCGTGTACTGGGTATGCAACGTGAGTCCTTCGTATCCACCTCGTAATACGCAGCTCGTGAAGGGGTTGCGCTAAAGACCGCAACCCGTCTCGCGTGAGAAAAGGTGAATAGCGTCACCCACGCGTTGTATTGTGCACGCGCAAGAACCCACGATTCAATTCGGTCAAGAACTACTGGTTGTAGCAGTACATCTAGGTATTGTATGGAGTGTGTGCTCTCATTGACTCCTACGTTGGATACAAGCAGTATGCTTACGCTCAAAGGAGAGGCCTATCGCGTGGCATCTTTGGCATCGTGCACGGTGAGGTTGCGGGGACGTGAGTGCCCCACAGCAGCAGTGCCTGTTTTTTTTTATCTTACTCAGCACAACAACGGAAGGCTGCTGGGGTCATGTTCTCTCACCTCGATCGCGTAGGTGTGGCGACCGGCACCATGAACCCGGAGGCTGTTGCCACCGATGCCAAAGCTACTGCGCAAGAAGTTTTCATGGTGCTGTGAAGTTGATTCCTGGACTTATTGGCTGGATAGAAGAAAGGTGTGTGTGCGGTGCGCGGCTGCAGCAGTCACGACGGTGTGACGGTTGACGGTTGACATCGGTGAGAGGGGGTTCGGCAAAGTGGGGTATGTTCGAACGGCGGTCTGCGGGGCGTGCCCTAAGCCACTCACAAGCTTGCCACACGAGTACACATCAAACGGGAGAGAAGAGGGCGGGGCACAGTAGCGAGAAGAGGGCGAGGCACAGACCTAGGACGAAGACCGCGAGGCACGAGAGGAAAGCGGAGGGGAGAGGTGAGATTCGGCCGAGCTCTGATAGTGTGCTGCCTATATATGATCTCGCCAAAACAACACATCTCGTTGTCGGTTCCCACAACAGCAAGATGGGACGGACCCATGCCCCGCCCGCTTCTCGCCCCTCTACTCGATCGTATGCAAATAAACATCGTCTGTTGCTCATGTTGCAATCGCAAGTTGCCGAACCGTGAAGAAGCAAAAGGGGTACGATATGCCGCAAGAATGGAACTCTAATGGAGTACTCCTATTGCCGAGTTGTAGTACCACAATACTCACTCGCATATTTAGCGCCAACTTGTATCCTGTGTTGCGAGGTGCCTACAGCAGTACTGCGGTATGCTTCTGTTGTGGCATCACTAAAGCACTTTCTCTGTGTTTTTGTCACAGGTGTTATAGATGGGAAGTTTTCCGAGAGCGGACGTTGCCCTGCGTTGTTATGGTGCTCGGCATCTCGTCGAGCTCGCCCTACTGCTGTACTGCTGTAGCTTGCATGCCTTGAAGCTGCTGCATCTCCCCATGTGCCACAGCCATGTGAAATTGCTCTTCCACACACCGTAGGAACATCATCTGCTGTGGTGTCAAAGTCAGCACGGGCAGGTGTTCTGCTAGCCCAATTACCATCTGCTATGCTAGGCGTCATCTCCACAGGACTACTGCTGTACTCAGTTTCGAAGAAATGGTTACATTCTGCGCCCCACGTTCGCGGATATTTGCGTACCGCTCTAAAACTCTAAAACACAACAAACTTTTGGGAAAAGCAAACAATGGGGGTTCTACGATCAGAGTGTGTGCAGCTCAGCGAAAGAGAGGCCCGATGACCATACCGTCGTATCGTTCCAAACTTTGCCTGATCCTCCGACGAACTCGAACAGGAGCCCGCTCACTCGAATCGTTTCACGTTACTCTCGCCCCCGGCCTGCAGGCCTAAACGGGTTTCCACACAACGTTGCAGCGTTGTCGGGAATAGGGACTCCGTTACTGGCACCTTCTAGGCAGTTGCGTGCTTGAGGCGGCGGAGAAAGACAACGGCAGACGGCGAAACAACCAGTGTAGTTGTTATCCACAGAGATGCCTCTGATTGGCAACATCGTCACAGGAGGGCTTCGGATGTCTAAGTACATTTCTAAGTCCGCCCGGAAGCGCATCCCCATGACCTCCAAGATGGGCAACAAGAACTTCTACAAGGGCAAGGGCGCGACAAAGGAGGGCACAATCAACAGCAGAGGTACGTCGTGGTGTGCTGTTGCTTGCTTCGCCAACTACAGTAATCGTCCGTGATGTGCTGTCATCCCATACGGATAGCTTGTGGCGTTTATTCCCAGCGTGTCTTCCGTGGGGATAGATGGAACGAGGTGTGAGGAGGACATATATTTTTTATCATGAGCTAGAGCTCCACAAGCGACAGTCGCCTCGACAGCAGGTGCGGTTGAGTCGAGGTTTGGCTGCGGTGCGGACAAAGATTAAGTATGACTTGGTCTGTTGTGCTGCTGTGGCCAGGGTGAGCCAGAGCGTACGTTCAGTTGGCGTTTACATTTCACTCGAAACGGTCGATGGAGGTGTTATTATTGCTGATCCTGCGCCTCACATTTTCGCTCACGATGTGCCAAGTGATAATAAAACGTGTGGCCCGCATTTTGACGCGTAGAGCTTCTCGCAGCGCTCGCTTTTCAAGTGCATGAAGCGTGTCTGTAGTTGGCACTTATGTGAAGGTCCTCCATCCTGGGGGTAGGCAATCGATTGCGTTTTGAGTAGAAAGCCGGTTATCTGCGGCTGTTGCTCGTTCAACATCCCTCGCTTCCCCCACTCGACCCTTTCTGTGCGTCCACCTCTCCTTCTCGCTCGTTTGCCCGTGCTTTCCATGATTGGTCATATCTCATGACCATTCTGAACCATGTCTCATGATCATTCTGAATCATGTGTCATGATGCTGTGTTGAGCAGGTCGCTTCATCGTAGACCCAGAGAAACGGTTGGAAATCATCGCTCCGGACCTTGACGGCTTCAAGGTAGGATGCTATACACACGACGGCAGCAAATTTTCATCTCAGCAGGGCTATGTAGCATACCCGCCCGTGTGGTGCCATTGCATCCTCTCCAGCAAGCGCGAGTGGTCCATATGAAAGGTCCATTGTTGCGGCATGAGTTGGTCACCGGTCGTAGCTTGTCCTACCGCAGCAGTATTCTGACTGAAGGGATCGATCCGGGGTCACGCAGGAAACTTTGGCGATGCATGACCCTATCGTTGCAATACGGTTGCAATACGCAAGGGTTTATTTGCTTGCTTCAAGTGCACTCATGAACAAGACCGCGTCTCATCTAATTGGTGTCTACGAAATATAGAGCAATTCACTTTGCGGGGACTCGAATTCCAAACCTAGCCGCGAGAAGATTTCCAAGTGTGTAAAGACCACCAGGGCAAGAGATCCTGGTTGTAACTTGTTGGGATTTCGTTCAAACTGCTGTGCAGCCAATCATCAGGGTAGTGTGTTGAGCTCCCTTTGTCTGTCCCATACGAGCTCCACAAATCTTCGTTTTGCCGTCCCAACTAGGGCACTGAGCCCGAAACAATTTTGCAGGATGAATGTGGTCGAGGCTTATCGATCTGCTGTCGTCGTGCAACGTTCATGGCTGCACACTACCCTCCACAAACCGTTTGACTCTACGGTTGATGTTGACAACCCTTCCTTGTCCATTCACCGATGAAGAGTTGCAGGTTTGTGTTATCCCTACTTGAGAGGCAACTCTGATTCTAGTCATGCAAACTGATCGGCCTCGGTTCTTTCGCCCGCTCTTTTTTCGACAGCTCATAACAGCGGTAGCGCGTGCCGTTCTTCCTTGTAGCGTTGTGCCAGGCTTGAGTTTTTGTCGCCTCCTGGATGCGATATTAACTGCATCATGAAGAAACTTGCCACCCCCCGTTTCTCAGTCGTCTAACCGTCTCAAAACTGATTATCCCAAACGGTCGCTGGATTGTCTTTTTCTTGTGTGCTCACGCAGTTGAAGCCGTACGTATCGAAAGCGGTTTGGAAACCAAGACGGGGTGGTCAAGCGCTGCTGGACTCTGCATAGCATCATACGGGTGGCCGCGGCAGTTTCTACGTTTTCGATGGCAACCGGAGCTTGATACGGGGCTTGGGCGCTGAAGAATACTAAATGTCGGGAGTTTCGGTGTTGATAGCAGGGTTAGAAGCCAGGTCGATACGCGGATTTTAGCTCTGGCGACACGGTGATCATGACCTAGAAGAATACTTTGACACTGAGGAGAAAATTCGAGTCTATGACGGGAGGGCGGTGCGCTTGTCATGGAGAGGCGTTGCGTCGCGTTGGTTGTCCTGAGCGGTAGGGGACGGTCCGTGCTGGAGGATTTCGCTCACGAGTCTAACGATGATGGCCTCCTCGACCAGCACGGTGTGGTTGCCGTCCGTCCGCCTTTGCTTGGGAGGACGATCACAGAGCTGGCATCAAAAGTGTGCCTTCAGCATCTCCTCCTGGTTGTGTGATTGGCTGGCCATATTTCTCGGCCCTTGGGTTTTGGAATCTTTAGCTGGGGCTCGATATCTTGGAGAGTCCGCACGTGGCCACGTCGTCTCCGCTGGCCCATGACGGCTGTCCTGGAAGAAGCGTCACAACGGGGAGAATGGGAAAGAGAGAGAGACAGAGTAGAGTGTGTGGGCAGCTGCTCCGATACATGTGAAGAAGTGAAGAAACAGCAGCAGCATTATCATCTGCAGTGAGTGAGTGATGCAACTGGTAATCCGAACAAACAATAACCCGTGAACCGATGCTTAGCTCGAGTCCCGCGAACAAAATGTTTCCGATTTGCTTTATTGCTACCGTCGGAAGTGTGCCCTGGCCTCGTTTCCTCTCCTTCCGGCACACGCCGAGGCAGTGAGTGTTCCACGCCTGCCTTCGCGACGTCATTTCTCCGGGGGGTTCAAGAGATAAGAAGGAAAAAACGAAGGTATGTGCCGCCGTGTCTCATTCCACTCGGGGGTTCCCCGGTTGCCTCCTGTGTGCTGTGTGCTAGTGGGTTCCGGGTTCGCCCAGTGCAAGTGAGTGAGCTCGCCAGCCCCCGGCACAACAAACACACACAGGGAAGAAGGGACAGCAGCTGGTGGTGGCATCCGGAAAGCTTGGAATAATCTTCACCCAGGCCCTTTTTTCCGTTTTGAAGACCCTCTTCCAGACAGCAGGGAGGCTAAAACTCTCCGCGTTTCTGCAGTTCACCAGCGAATTTCTCCCAACAAAATCACACGCGGTGGGAGGGAATCACAGCATAGTTGGTTTCCTTGTGTCAACGACGATGTTCCAGGGGGTGAATGGTTTCGGGGGGGGAGGAAGCAAGGCGTCTTCAGGGTTTGGGCAATGGTACCTGGACATGCAAGACGCTAAGGAGGTGAGGTGCATACCATTTTTTGTCTACAAACCGAAGTTCAAGATACAGCGGTCAGCGGTCACCGCAGCAGTAGACTTCACATGCATTTGATGCCCAAAGTTGCTGCAGCAGGAGGTTGGCGGCCGGTCGTAGGACACACATACAGTGTAGCAAGGGGCTTAAGGTTTAAATGCGTGTGCTGTGTGTGACACAAACACAGCTATTGAAGCTTGCGATTGACTTGTACTAACAACAGAAAATATTTCTTACCACCCTGCCCCCGTCTGTGTTCGTGTGTGCCCTTCAAGTTGACTGCCGTAGGAGGTCACCTCACGCTCGAGCAAAAGCCAAGTGATATTTAAGAAGTGGCAAAATGAAAATAAGAAAAGCGCTATGCATGGCCACACCCGCAGCCTCCCCCGCCAAGGAGTTTACGGCGGCAAGGTGTATGTTTCAACACTCCGTAGATTCCGCCGCAATCCCCGCCAATCAGCGGCCTGCATTGCGTCGTTCACGCCAGCCGAAGAGACCTCGACACCTCGACAACCTCTGTACTGCCACAACCTTCAACGTTTGGCTAGGTTGGAGGTTCGACAGCTAAGAACAGCAGCAAATGGTAGTCTAATCGATTCTGGACGACACCAATGGCGCAACACATACGTATCACCTCCTTTTGGGGTGTTGCACGTTGTGGTGTTGCGATTGTGTTCTCTCAGGTACATAAATAGTACACTGCAGCGTGGAAACTGTTGAGTAACTTTGTGCTCGAATCTGTTTGCTCATTCCGAGACTGTTCGAGGGCTCCTGATTGGCCGACACTCGTTTCGCTCCTTAGTACAGCGATGCACCAGCAATGTCGTCCCATTCCACGATTGGTCATGGAGGTCATTCGCGGTACACCATCTGATGGTCATTGAAAGCCAGTTTTTCTTGGCTTATCGGTCAGGAGGAAACGGGTGACGTGGAAGACGGGTCGGCGCCGGGTTGGCGATTCTGGCAAGCCAATGAAAAGAAGACGGACGGGCAGGCGGCGCAGGCACTTCTGCCGGGGTTCCTGCGAAACGAGGCGGCCGGTAAGTTTCCGAACCGCCGGACACCGACGCTTGTACTCTGTTTGATGTTGGGCGACATTTGTGTTTTACGTTACAGCAGTATTGCGATTTTTGCCGTCGTCCGACGTGTTTCCCCGCTTTCCCTTAAATGATTCTCTGGTCTTTTTGAGGGCGTTTCAGATGCAGCTTGAGGTACAAGTGTTTGTTCCCGTTACTGCAACACCGTTCGTCGCAGATGTCGGGTGTTTATCGACATTCGCGGATTCCCCGTATGATTTTTCCTTTGATCGAAGCGTACAGAACACTGCCTGCATGCTGTAGTTCCACCAAGAACTTCCGACACGAGCGTTATCATCGTTATTTTTCGGTCCAGTGCACTGGCCATGTCAGCCTGATATGTAGGTGCCAACGGTCTCGACCCTTGACGATATCTCTCTGTCTCTGTCTCTCTCTCTCTCTCTCTCTCTCTCTCTCTCTCTCTCTCTCTCTCTCTCTCTCTCTCTCTCTCTCTCTCGCTCTCTTCCTCTTCCTCTCCCTCTCCCTCTCGCTCTCTCTGTCTCCCTGTCTCCCTGTCTCTCTCTATGCATTTTTCTCGTTTTCGTTTTTGGTTCTATTCGGCAGCTCCTGACACAGATGCGGTAATCATGGGCATGTCGTACCAGCAGAGATTCAAGGTGATCTTGCGCTTACAGAAGTGACACCTGAGCGTGTAGGGAAAGGGCTCGGGCGGGGAAACCGGTCATCGTTCGTTGTCCTTGTTGGCGGGGGCAGGAAGCTGAAGGTTATCGCAAATCTAGTAAGGGACCACCTTACCTACTCTCGTCGTCGCTGTGACTTAAGATCCGCGCTTGAGCGTTGGGACGAACCCTTGCAGGACTTGTCTTCGCGCCTCCGCTGTGTATTGCATCGGCCTCGCCGTTCCACCGTGGCAGCGTAAATACCCTTAGGGTCTATGGTGAACATTGCCGCCTCGTTGTCACCATGCCGGTAACGCGTGCGGCGTGACACTCTCATCCATCTGTCTACCGCGTGGCAAGCATCGCTCCTCCACTGACTGCGTTGTCCCGCGATATGTTACGTGTCGGGCGCGCGGTGCCAGGGCTTTGTCGTATCGTTGCTGCTATCCGTGGCCTTCTTCGTGCTCGCGTTTGTGATCGGGCTCCCGATGATCATGCTGAGGCCGCACAAGTTCGCGTTGACCTTCACGCTGGGGAGCTTCTTCTTCATGGGCAGCTTCGCCATGCTAAAGGTCGGCAGAATGTGAAAACTACCACGATACGATGACAAGAGATTAGAGTCGTGAGCCTCCTTCCTGTGGGACCCTGGCTGATACCAACACATCGCGAACGGTGGATTAATTTTAATGGACGTCCAAAACAGAATTGGGGTGCCAATACATAATGCCGCACGCGTCTATCTGCGTGGTTGTTGCTGTTCGTGTTTTTCGTGTGGTTGGAGCCCATTGATCGGAACTGTACCGAATAGCGACCAGAATGCGGAGTGACAGGAGGGGACAGGGGGGCTACAGACGGGCGGACTACACCATCAGGTCGAAAGCAATATCATCTCCAATCGTTCCGTTTAAGGAGCCGATTTCTCCGAGGCATGCCCCGGTGTTGTCTGCTTGGGGAGATACAGTGCCGCGAGGAAACGATCGATTTTGATGATCCTCGTGTCAAGAGTGCCGGGGCTGAGAGGTTACGCTGGCGAAACCTCGGTTTTGGTGCTGCTGCACGTAGGTGTGTGGCACCTGTTCGTGTTATTTTGATGGGCGTGTTCCACCACGAAGTTGTCCGCCAAACGGCGTGTGTTCTTGCTGCGCGATTTTTCCTTGCTGCTATCCACCCCTCCAAATGTTGCGACATCCCCCCCCCCTCCCCTTTCCCGCCCCCGCCCACGCCCACGCCCCACCCCCAGGGGCCTGTCGCCCACCTGAAATCAATGCTGGCACGAGATCGGCTCCCGTTCACGGTGGCGTACGTGGGCTCCATGGGGGCCACCCTGTACGCGTGCCTAATCTTGCAGTCGTACATGATGGTGGTGACCTGTTCGGTCATCCAGCTCCTCGCTCTGGCGTGGTATTTTTTGAGCTTCGTGCCGGGGGGCAGCCAAGGGATGAGGTGAGCGCGCGCCGCACCAAGCTGCAGCGTCGAGAGGGAAGGGGCGTCGCTAGCGGCCGTGCGTTGTCATGACGTCGTGTGATGCCATCGTGTCAAGGCGTTGTGTCAATGTTTTGAACCCGCCGCCCTCTGCCTTCTGGACCTCCAATACCCTTGCTGTTCTACTGTTCGCCCCGTGGCCAGGTATTTCTTGTCGGCGATTCACAAGACGGCGCGATATACCCTCCTGCCTTGCATCGAGGGATGTCGAAAAACGCTGTGCTTTTGTCTCAGCCGCGGCGGGTCATGACCCCGCCCGCCCCCTGCCCCCTGTTAGGACATAAATAACGTAGAGAATAGTTCTGCATGTAGCGACCGTCGCCGACATTAGATCTGAATCTTCGCATTGAGCTACTTCCGGGTTGTCGCGAGGCGGTAGGGATTGGTGCAACAGGTGTTAAGTGTCGTCGTCATGGGTGCCTAGATTTCGGTCCTATGGTTGCGCCGCGGCAAGCAGGAAGGTGACGCGACAATGCGCCGCACGCCATTGTCCGGTGCGCCAAGGGAGGGATGAAGGTGGTGCACACGATGGAGCCTACCGGTCCAGCCTTTCTTGTCTGCTGCTCACGCGCTCGTGCTGGTGCTGGGGATCACGATTGGTTGTCAAGAAGCTTACTATACGTACCGACTGTCACCGTTTTGGGCACTTGCTGAATTTCGTCGCATGTGGCCGTTCAGGTGGTTGTGGTTGTGCTCACTGCTGCTGCTGCTTTTGGGAGGTATCATGATGACTGCAGTTAGACTACGACTTCAGGGGGGGGCTTGCAACAGGAGAAGTACCCTTGGTAGTTGGTTCCCGCCTACCTGCCTACCTGCCTGCCTTGCTGCATGTGTGTCTCATTGTGTTTCCTCTCTAATGAATGAATGGGGCGAAATATGTTCAGTTTCTTGGGTAAGTGTTAATATCAACACCCGTAGCTTGTGTTTTTTTGTCAAGGTAGAAGGCTTCTGGATAGTCAACATCTCCGTGGAGAACGACTTGACTTACTTGTGTATGGTCCGCCACGTTCTTCAATAGGCGTGGTGCGTCCCGGTGTTTGTCAGAGGCTTGTAAAATTGGGTAGCAGAAGCGAGCAGGAACACGGATTGAATGTTTCACCAGACACAGCAGTCATCCTTGGGTCTCGTTTCTCTGTGCCACATCGAGATTGATTGATGCGCTCCTCGGGGTGGAAAACATCCATTATATACATGCGTTCTCAGTAACTCGAGCGAGTGTTTCAGAAGATGTTGCACGTGCGCCGGATGACGTTATTTTGCGAATACCCAAGTGGTGCTGTCAGCGGCCTCATCAAAGCCACACAACTCAGCACGGAAAACATGGGGCGATGCATGCCCTTGTGACCGACCGACCTACTAGGTGAGTGATCGGGTCTAAGAATGTAACGCGGGCGGTGTGCCTGGCCGAAACAGGGCCGAATACAGCAAAACTTAAACTTATGTACAATGTTACTGTAGTACGTGTGTGTGCTATTAGGCCCCACGGCGAAAGTACTGCAACTACAATGCATGCAGTGTTTTTAGACTGTACTCCAACAAGATAATGGCGCGAATTTCCTACAATAGCTCGTTCTTGCGGCGGCGGTGAAAAAAATAAGATATAATACCTCGCCAAGGATATACTCTCCCTCGCTATTAGCGTTGAGAGCGCCCGCGGGAGGATATAGCTGTGACGCGATCGCAGCAAGAACTGCGGTGCTCAACGTAGGGCGGGGGGGTGGCGTCAACAATCCCTAAAACTCGATATACCTCAAACTCGATACACCTCGCGTATTATCTAGGCTACTGCAATGGTGGAGAATGAGACAAACGTTATCGCTATATTCGCGAAAAATCGAAAGAAGAAGAAGATCGTTTCGCCAAACGAACGTGGTTCCACAACTAACTAACATTAATATTGTATCAAACGTTCGAATCTCTCTATCTCTCTCTGAAGGTTTTACGAATAATGTTATCCTTCACACAAGTGGATCATTTGTGAATTATAATGAAAAAAAAAGTGTGCTATTATCTATTGTATACATAGACTATGACATTAATCTATTAGTCTTGGATGTTGAGCAGCACGATGACCACTAGAAGACCACTATTTACTTCTACATAGTCAGTGCTCAATAGTGGTCTAGTAGTCATCGTGCTTCTCAACAAAATTTTATGCCCGTGTCCGGTCTAGTTTTGCCGCCACGAACGCGTCCCCCCAGTCGTACTTCTCAACATTGAACACCACAGCAGGCGAGGCACGCAACAAGCACGGCACATGGCACGCAAGCAAGCGAAAAGGGGACACGCACACTGGAAGTTGATGCAAAAGGGGAACACCGTATGTACCTTCTTTCACATTCTGTGTGTCCCCTTGCACTTGTTGTGACTTGGTTGCTGCCTCCGCTGGCGCTCGCTCTCTCACATTCATGGTATGTGTGGGCAAAGCTCTTGTCTCTTGCTTTGGGACACATTTGCGCCTATTTTCACTGTCGTGAGAGTGCTAGGGACACCTTAGCTTTGTTGTGGTCGTCGTGGACCACTTCATGAACCCCCGGATTTGGTCCCAGAGGGAGTAAAAAAACAAGCGGTTCGGCTGGACCGAATCGGCGCCTTTCCATCCGCCGCGCACAAGAGCAACCTGCCGTCGTATAGCTGAGGGGAGCAGCAGGAGAAGGGATGGACCACTCTCCGATCGCGTTCGTGTGTGCCGTTGCGGTCACGGCTGGCTTGGTGAGCACTTCTTCAGTGGAAGCGGGCAGCACGGGCAACCACATCATCGTCTCCGCCCCCGCGTGGGTGTCTCCGCGGACGGCGGTGGTGCCACCAGCAGGAGGCCAACGCGACGGCGCACTGCGTCAGCTAGTCTGGACCACCAGCACCACCAGCGCCCGAAGTGATGGGTGCGAGGCTACGCCAAGTTCTCCGCAGGGTGGTGGTGCGTTTTGTCGCGAAAACCCGCTCTGGACCAAACATGAGTCCGCCATGTGGGTCAGGGGCGGGGCAAGCGACGGCGGCGGCGCCAACGGCGGGGGCGCTGATCCAAGCGGCAAGAAGGCGGTCAAGCCGGGGTCGCCATCAAAGGTTGCCGCGGAGAAGAGTGGGCCCGCACGGGGTGGGGGTGGAGCCGGGGGCGTGTGGGCCAGCGTCGCGAGAGCATGGAGGGCGGTCCGTGGGGGGCGGCCGCACAACCACGGCAGCAACACCGGGGCAACCTCGGCTGTAGCAGACCCCAAGGCTAGCAGCGGCGGCGGGTCCCACAATTCAAAGGTCGGGGGCGGGGCTGCAACTTCTCGCGATGCAGGGGAGGAAACAGGTTCGAGCGGGGCATCGCCATCAGGGTCCGGTTCAGGTGCGACGACGAGGTCAGGCAAGGCTAGCAGCAGTCGGAGAACGAAGAGGAATAGCAGCAAGAAGCGCTCGTTCCCCAGAGAAGGAACCGGCGGGGAGAGGCAGCAGCAGCGCGCACCGTATTCGACATCTAATAGAAGAAACGTCTACGGCGCGGCTGCGGCCTCCTCGCCCCACTGGCAACCACAGCCGCAGCGAACGCCGGGAAGCTTTGTGGTCTCCTCTGCAGAGCGGGAACGCAGGGAGGTGGAGGTCAGGGACGCGCTCGTTCGGGCGGAGGGGGAGGTGGGCGGGGAGCACCCGAGAGTTGCCACGCTCCTCTTTCTCCTGTCGCGGATAGTGCAGGAGAGGGGGGACTACACCGAGGCCGAGGTGTGTCTCGTAAGGGCAGCGCTAGCGTATGTGTCGTAGCACACGGTCCTCCTCTCACTCCAGACAAGAGATGAGGTTCTTCCGGCTTTGCAACAGAGTTGTTTCTTCGCTTCGTCGTGTGGAGACTAAATACCTTCGTAAAGGTCCACAACGTCTCCCTGTCGAGGGCGATTCTCTCTCTTTCCAGCTTGTGTGATATGATTGTCTTCCGTCCCCGGCCACCACTCTACACGCGCCGCTTACGTTTTCTCGATACCCCCCCCCCCCCACCCCCTCGTGTTTCATTCGTGTCCAGGAACTCTGTACCAGGGCGCTCAGCATTTACGAGGCGGCGCTGGGCCCAGAACACCCGGATGTCGGGGTGGCTTTGAACTGCCTCGCTATGTCATGGCAGGCTCAGGTAAGCACACGCGAGAGCGTGTTCTTTAGGCGAAGACGGGCCGGATGGATTCAGGCGTCCTTGTGTGGCTTACCCCGGTCCTTAAAAGCGTTCATGCTTGTGTTGCTTACCCCGGTCCTTGAGAGCGTTTACCGCTCACCTTTTCTGGACGCAACACGCTGCCTAGTGTCTGGTATCGTTGGTGTTTGTGCTTGCTATGGAGGGGGGTTGAAGGGCGAGGCGGACAACATCCGCCTACAGCAGTGAAGGACTTCCGACATGCGAGGATACCCTGACAACACGTTTTCGTTGTTTACCTCTCCTTCGTGTTGTTGATAGAACGGCTGTAATATGTTCTTTTCGCTTGTGGGCAGGCGTGGGCCTTTCGTGAGAAGTGGCACATTGCGTGCCCCGGTTACTCCGTAGATCAACCAGTGCTCCAGATGAAGTTATAGAAAGAGATTCCCGGTACCACCCGAGTTGGTACCTCCGGCAGGGGAGGGGGGGGTACCCTAAAAGCTTGCTTGCTGCTGTCACCGCTGGTCGTGTCTCCTCCACATTCTAGGAGCAAGTTCTTTGGCACTGCTGCTCTTCTTGTTCGGCTGTCCTAAGATGGTGGAGGGAGGTCGGTCGACTAATCGCATAACACTACTGGCATGCGCTGGTACAAGCAACGAATGGCAACACGACACGTAACACCGTACGCATGCAACCAAAACCCTTTTTTTTTCGTTTTCGAACCCCAAGAATACGTTTCCGCCAAACTTTCCTGCGCCCAGGGAAAGCTTATGGAGGCCGAGCCGCTGCACAAAAGGGCGCTCGATATCGCGCGAAGCACCACCGGCCCCGGCCACCCCACGGCCGCCTACTCTCTTCACGGACTAGCAGTCTTGGCACAGGCCCGAGGTATACCTAAGTTTTTATCCTAGCCAGGAGGAGCCCAGCGTGTCATGCGTTCTGTACGAGTGCTGGTTGTGGCGTTGAGGGGATATTGCGCTCGTTGGACCGTTACGGATGTTGGAGGGGTGTTGGCACCGCCATGGTATATTTTGTGTTATTGCTGACTACTGCTCGTGTGTCATGCGTGCCGCCTTGTCTCTCGCAGGGAGGTTCGATGAGGCGGAAACGCTGTTCCGAGAAGCCCTGGGGATCAACGAGCGGGCCCACGGGAATCGCCACCCGGAGGTGGCCTCCTGCCTCAACAGCCTCGCTGCCCTCCTGCAGGTGCACTAAAATCTACCTTGGCTTCATATTTGTGGTACAGTAGTACGTGTCCCGATATAGTACCAGCATGTGCCCAGAGACTTGAGCGGCACTAATGGGAGTGGACAATCGTGGCCAGAAGGTTGGCCGGCACTATGCCGAGCATCGGCACTGCATACTGTACAGGCAGGGTGTTGTTGGTGCGACTGCTTTCTCGTTGGCGCTGTTGTTGCCGGCTGTATCGCTGCGGATGGTTGTTTTTTCATTGGCTGAACATCGACGTGTTGCGCTCGAGCCCCTGGCGTACCCCATACGGCGTCCGGCGTGTCGATGTCTCGGACTGTCCTCTGCCAAGCCGTGGCGGTGGGTAGCTAGCTCGGTCGTGCCTGCCACGTTCGACTTGTACTCCCGTTGAGCAAGGAGGACGGTGCCCGCCCTACACACACTCACACACAGGCTCGAGGAAGCTACGACGAAGCAGAAATCCTCTTCACGAGAGCGCTGGAAGTGGACGAGGTGAGAGCGACTCTGCGATGTTTGCCGAGTGGAACTGGCAAAGTGTGCTTGTTTCGTGTGAAACGAAACCGAGCGACAACGGTCCGGCTCCACGTTTGGTTGGTGTTTTGTTTGCCGTGGTAGGCTCATACGGGCCACGTTCTTACGATCTACGCTAGGGCAGCCTTCTAAGCGTAGGTGTGTGTCAACAGTGTTGGTCCGAGGCCTGGACTGTAAGGTACCGCACCTCTACAGAACGCGGTTTATGAACCCCATCCCGTGTGCTTGGTCCGACGTGCGGGCCGTGTTAAGCGTCTTGCCGCTAGTTTCTGACGTGCTTCCACACAACAGGGCTGGACCATCACGCCTTTGCTAGACAAAATAACAAATTTTAAGAAAAGGTGGCGAAAAACGAGTAAATTAATATAACAGCAGTGGCGCAACGTCGCGTCGCGCACTGACGTGTTGTTCACGGCGTTGCACCGATCGCGCGGTGCCGGCCCGTGCTACAGGCGTGTTTTGGGTTGGAGCACCCCCGGGTAGCGGCGGGTTTGCACAACCTGGCGGCGTTGCTGCAGGCACAAGGGAAGCACGAGGAGGCTGACAGGCTACAAAGGTGAGCTTTTTTTCGTTCGGCGTGTCGGTCAAGGGTGAAGACGCTTTCGTGTAGACGATCTACCGTTGTTTGGAACATCCGAATTGCAGAAGCCACAAGACAGTGCAAGACTTGTTTGCTTCAATTTTCTTTTTCGCGGTTGATCTCCGCTGCACCCCGGTACTTTTCTTCGGGATTGTCAAATAATCCAAGGAGGCGTTCTACTATTTCCGTACTTGTATTGTTTTAGAACCTCGTTGTGGTGCCTCACATGCTTTATGTTTGTCGCCGCTCCTACTCCTACCGCTACTATTACTACTACGCGCCACCTTATCGAGCGGCACTAGGCTCCACCTCGTCTCTTCCATATCATGCATATACTCTGCACTTCTGAGCACACTGGAGTGTTCCCAGCGAACCGCTCCTACAGCTAAAAACTCGTCCCTCCTCGGTGGTATTTTTTCGACGTCGTGCTTTATCCCGAATCGTGTTTTACCTACCTTTGCACAGCGGCATGCAACTCTACCCTGTTGAGCACCCCCTTGCGCACGCCATGCACTCGTTTACCATCTGCCGCCCCCCCCTCTTCCCTTTAATACAAACGCCTGGTCCCGTGATTCTGGAAACCCGAAGTCGAGCGTTGAAGACGTGGGAGAGGGAGTACGGCCCGGAACACCCCAAGCTAGCGGCGTTTCTGAACAACCAGGCAACGCTCCGCTTGGCGCAGGGTGAGGGCGGACAGGGGTTGTTGATGAAGGGGTACTCCCGTTGGGGTTTCGATGTGAGGAGGCCGTCGGAAGGGGGTTTTGTGTGTGTTTTTTTTTGTGTGTTGTTCGATTTGGGCGAGGGAAGACGCAGGGTCCGGGGTGGGGGTGGCGGCACCGGCGCGTTGACCAGGCAAACACCAAGCAAGGCGGCACCCGTTTGTCGACCAAGCAAAGACCGACTTGATCCAGCAGACAACGGACTGCTGCCTCCCGTGTGCGCACCAATACAAACTACGACTTTGCTCGAGGGGGGGGGGGGGACTCCTGTGCCGCCAAAACCTCACGCCGTTTGCGAGGAGGGAAGACGCACCCTTGCACACGGGGACTATTGTCCCGCCAACAACTCCTCATGCTTTGTGTTGGTGGATGCTCGTTTCGTTTCGTTGGCAGGTAAGCCCGACGAAGCGGAGAAGTTGGGGCTGCGCGCCCTGTCCATCGTGGAGAAGGCGTACGGACCGGTGCACCCTGAGATCGCTACGTGCCTCAACAACCTCAGCGCCTTGCTACATGCGAGAAGGTCGGCGTAGGGGGAGTGGGTGGGCAGGAAGGAGGGAGGGTAGGTAGGATTGGGATGCGTGGACAGTGTGTGAGATTGGAGAGGGGTAGATGGTTTTTGGGTGAAAGCGAGGGAGGGAGAAAGGAAGAGAGAGAGAGAGAGCGAGAGGAGAGAGGGCGAGAAGGCGAGAGAGACAGAGATTCTAAGACCGAGAGAGAACGCTAGCGAGAGAAAGACAGAGACAGTCATATTTCCTTTGGTTGCTCTTCACGCGCTCTTTCCCCCAGCTCCGTGCAGTCAGTACTCACAGATCAAGGAACCTTGCGTGTATTCATTATTGCTTGTGCATGACGATACAACAGGCGAGATGACGAGGCTGAGCCACTATGCCGCAGAGCGCTCCAGATCTCGGAACAGATCTACGGCTCAAACCACCCCAAGATCGCTACCTGCCTCAACAACCTGGCTACTCAGGTTGGAAAATTCTGCGGGCACTAGATGCGTGTTTTCCGGGTGTTTCTGGCGTTAATCTTGGTGCAGAAGCGGACTACTGTACGCCCTTTTTTTTGTCTTACGTGTGTGGATGTTGCTGCATTCAATGTTGAGGAATCTTGTTGGAGGAGGCATGTAGGGATCATGATACATGCATGACAGCGAGCTAGAGTTTTTCCGGCAAGGGCAAGACAGGAATTTCGCCCCATGACGGTTGCTGCCTGGCCCTGTCGAGTTAGCCACGCATCGTTGCTGAAGGAAGGCTTTAGAAGGAGCACAGTTCCCATTCGTCGCGGCGCATTTTTCAGGCGTTCCTTTTGTGCCGCTTACCAACCCGACCGGCAATCTTTTGGTCGGACATGTACCCGACATGGTTACTGCCTGCCGATACGACCTCTCTTTCTTCCGCGGTGAACTGCTGCCAGCCCAAAGATTATTCTCCCTCCTTTTAAGTTTTCTATTGCTTGTTTCTCGGCGCGAGCTCCCTCTCTCTCTCTCCCGTGCTCAAAGTGCTGCCAGCCCGAATGTTGGTCTCCTTTTTTAAAAGTTTCTACGGAATACCAGTATGTTGTTTGTTCCGGCAGACACGCGATACCGCCGTCGACTGTCCGTGTCGGCGTTGGTGTGCTGTTGTCCTCTCGCAGGTGCAGGCAAGAGGGGAGTTCGAGGAAGCGGAGGAGATGTTCACAAGGGCTTTGGACATCGGCAGGCAGATGTACGGCCCGTCGCACCCCAACGTGGCCACAGGTCTCTCGAACCTCGCCGGGCTCTTGAGATGTCAGGGTAAGTGCAGCGCGCCCATCCGCCTCTCTTATTGGAAAGGTGCGGTGGGTCGGTAGAGCGCGGAAAAGTACAATGGTTGATGTTGTCGGTGGTGCTGCGTCCGGTCGAGTGTGTATTCCAGACTTTTCTCCCTGCATGTTTTACCGTCGGGAGGGTTTACATTTTGAACGAATCGCCAGCAATCCCTCCTGTTTTCTTGTTGACCCCGGCTGAATTGGTGTCTGCGGATATAGCGGGATGTGGGTCGAGCTTTAGCGTTTTTGACCGCGGTCCTATTTTTGGAATGTGTTCGCTTCTCTTGTCTCCAGGCAAGCTGGACGAGGCCGAGCCGCTGTATCGGAAGGCGGTGGAAATCGGCGAGACCGTTCTTGGACCTGACCACCCCGACCTCGCCACTTGGCTCAACAACCTGGTGAGTACCTACCTGCCGGTACACGAAGAAAACGCCTCTGATACACATACCCGCTTGTTGGTTGCGCACCCTGTCGCAACGCTGTGCTTTGGAGGCGGCGGCAATGACGCTCCGCGTTGGAGTGAGATCCCATGGGAGTCCCACATTGGTGCGAGATCCCACGGGAATCCCACATTGGTGTGAGATCTTATGGGAACCCCAAATTGGTGTGAGTTCCCATGGGAATCCCACCTGGTGCTCGGGTCTTGTAGGTCGGCGGTTGGGTGACCACGGTACGTGTCTGTGGCGCAAGCATTGCGCAGCCGTTGTTCGGCAGCGCTTTCATTAGCCCTCATAGGGGGTGGAATTACACCTGTTGCATCGTCCTCCCTCTTGTCTCTTCGATGGCACGTCGTGCAGGCTACGCTCGTGAGGGATAGGGGAGACCCGGATGCCGCTGAGCCTTTGCAGAGGAGAGCGCTCGCCATAGGGGAGAAAGTGCTGGGACCGGCTCACCCAGACTTGGGGGCGCAGGTCATCAACCTGGCCTCGCTGCTGAGCGCACAAGGTGTGTTTGTGCGACTGGTGTTTGGTATTGTAGCGGTGTTGTTGAGGGGTGAAGGCAAGGTTCGCTATGGTTGTGTTGGCGTTGGGCGTTAACGTGAACACTTCACCCAATACGCTATTAGCATTTTCGTGGAAGCGAAATGACGATCCCGCGTGTCTATTCTCCCGTCCCCAAGCGTGTCCTCAACAATTCGCTCGCTGTTGCGAGGATAAACCGAAGAGGATAAGTTGATGGTCCTTCTGTTCGGTTCATCGTTCGCACTTGGGTCGATGGAGATCTTGGCAAAGATGTCTATAATGTAGCGTGTGGAAGTATTGAGACCGTTGGGACAGTCACATTTGTTCCTTGTTTTTCAATCGCAACATCAAGTAGAGTACAGACAACAATTGTGCCCGTCCCTCCAATGGTCGAAACGCCTGCCGATTTCAAGGGAAAACCGAGGAGGCGGAGAGGCTGTTCATTAGAGGTCTGGCTACGCTGGAGGCGGCTCACGGTCCCGAGCATCCCGACGTCGCGGCCGTGCTGAGTCACTACGCATCGATGCTACATCAAGAGGTATGCTACGTGGCATTCGTGTGGCGGTGGTGAGATGCACCTCCGCGGTGATGCCACGCCAGGAGATTTTGCGCGCGTTTGTTGCCGTGTTGCCCGTGTCTTAACGTTATGCACGCAGCAGGACAGCAGGTGTCTAAACACATGACTGGATATATGCGGTGGGGCGGAGAATACGGATTAATGTGTGCTGCTGACACGCGTTTGTGTTGGTAGTTGGTATGCTTGCCGTTTGTCTCAGTGCCGCTCTGCGTGGAACCGTTTGTGTCCGCTGTGCGCATGCGTGTGAGCCGCGGCTGTGATGCCGCCGCCTTCACCGACACCTGCCCTCCCCTCTCTTCCACTTCGCGTCACACCTGACGACCCTGAAAAATCGTTGGAACGTACGGCTTGCGGCTTTCGGTTTTCAGGGGCGAGACGCGGAGGCGAAGGAGCTCATCAAGCGGGCGCTAGCGACCGTGGAGAGATTCTTCGGCCCTTCGCACCCCATCGCCGTGCAATTGCGAGCGATCCTCGAACCGGGAGGATGGGGCGCGGATTGAACGACCGAGAGCGACGGCGTTCTACCGTCCCGTCCGTGCGGTGTGCCGGGTGGCGCGTGCATTTTTACGGGACGCGTCGCTAGAGGTTTTCCGGCCGTTGGCACCCAGCAGAAAATCGTGCAGACGACCTGGGACTTATCACAAAAAGTAGAAGGCGCGATGATGGTTGCCGGTCACCGGGGCGTGCTTTGGCGGCATTAAGTGTCGGCATTAAGTGTACCACGATCTGCGACATTCTCGCGGTGTAGGGCTGGTACGTAGGAAATCAATGTTTTTGGAGCCCTGAACTGGATTTGATCCTTGTTTTTCGTGTCTAGAGGGGTGCGTGTTGTCCTGTGATCGATAGATGATCACCAGTGTTGATCCACGCCCGTTTGATCTTGTTTGGTAGAGGAGGAAGCGATGTTATTTACGACTCCGGAGGAGTATCGATACGCCCAGCGATGATGTTGGGACACTCAAGAAGACGAGGTATTCATACCTTTGGGTAGCAAACTTCTTGTGGCAGTTGGATAGCACCCCCTTGCCCCTTCGGACGAAATGGTCTCTGATTAGAGATGAGACCTCCTTTGACTCATTCCACTCTGCTATCCAACACAGCGTAGCGTCTTTTGCCGTGAGAAGTGTTGTTCGACAGCTGCAACCTTCCCGACGTATGAATGCCAATGAATAGTTCCTCGAGTTGGGTGTGCGCCATGCCTTTGTTGGATAGGGTTGGTGGGTAGCACACGTTAGGGGAATATATATCTTGCTTGCAGCAACTTGCAGCTTGCTTGATGAAGCACTTTTTCGCAATCCTCTTGAAGACTAGTTTCAAGCGATGGTCGACACATAGAGCCGGACATAACCCCAACATTGGACGTACGAATACTCCCACTGCCACAACCAAGCACCTGTTGGCGCATCCCTGGGAAAATTTCAGCTTGCGCTACCGTCCCAGATAACAACCTTCGGCGTACATGTGGTTTGGCAACGTGTGAACAACCGCCCGAAACGCACTGTGCGTGTTCAGGACAGTGTTCCGTCCGATGTTGTCTCTGGCGCAGACGTGTCATGGCCCACCAGCTCCTCTCGTGACCTGCGAGGGATTTCGTGCTTTTCCATTCTAGAAGGCGAACGGCTCTATTATTGTCTTAGTCTCGCCTTGTGGATCAAATGGATGGGATCTTCCCAATGCTGTACATTTTTATTATTGTGGAATGAGTGGCATGGGTTTAGGCCGTTGTTGGGGACAAAGCAATCTCCACACCATGCGGCACTATTTCGTGTGTCAACTTGGACATGTTTGAGAGGGAGGAACCTCAGGCAGGCAACGATGCCACGCCTGATGGCTACGAGGGGCGAACATGTTCGGATGCGGGACTATGGTACCTCGTGCGCGGAAATGGACAGCCATCTCTCCGAATTTGCATGAGTTGCTCCCGATCACGGTCCACCATGTTATCGCTGAGGAACTACTTCTGGGACACAGCGCTGAGGAACCATTTTCAGCATTTCTTGTCGTGCTGCATCAAGCAGAAACGTGGGGTGAATACCGTAGGTTTCATAAGATATCACACCCCCTGGACCAGTTTTCGAAGCTCGATATCTCGAAAAGGAAAACCAGTGACGGTACCAAAAATGACGGCGTTGGAACCGTGTCGTCGAGAGCTTTCCGAAAATGTGTCGTTTGATATCGGCATCCTCTTCATCGTGGAGCAACCGAGCTTTGAACATCGGTCCAGGGAGTGTGATATCTTGGGTGTTATGTGAACCACATGTCGCTGAGCTGCCCCAAATCATCAATATTCACATTCATCTTACCCCCCCCCCCCCCCCCCCCCCCCCCCCCCAAAAACCCAAAAAATTTTTAACCCGGGGGCCCCAAAAAAACGGGCCTTTTTTTAAAAAAAAAAAAATTTTCCTGGGCTTTTTTTTAAAAAAAGATCGGGGTGGCCCCCCCCCAAAATTTTAAAAAAGGAAAAGGGGGGTCCACCCCCCCTCAAAAAGTGGTTCTA